TTATTAAGTTTTATTTAATTTGAGTTATTTTAGTACTTCAACAAACTAAATGGAAATGAAATAATATATATATTGAATTTATAAATGTGTATGTACATATACAGTATATATGTATGTGTGTGTGGTTGTACATACACATATGTAGTTGTTTTTTTGGTGTTTGGCTAAGTGTTATGTTAGAATCATTATTATACTCATACCTTTTGTTCTTTAATATTTTGAATTGTTTTTAGCTTTATTTTTTGTTTTTCATTTAAATGTTAAGTTTTGAAATTTTGTTGTATGCATTTGTCATTTTTATTTAATCTCTTTATTTTTAAAATGTGTATAGGTAGTATTTATAAAGTTTTAGCTTTTAGTTTTGGATCTGTTTTTAGTTGTTTGATTGCTTCTGTTGTCCTCATTTGTAAGTCGCTTTGGATAAAAGCGTCTGATAAATGACTAAATAAATACATATGTGTGTTTTGGCTATGTTCTATCCACTAGTCTAAAAGAAGACATTTTATGGAAGCAAAAGTAGCCCAGAATCTCAGTATTGGCCAGTGCATGAAAAAAAAACAATGCTTTTGCATGTATAGTGTCTTGCTTTAATGTGTTTCCTTATTCCTATTATTGTCTGTTAGGTTAGGGTTGCATCATTAGAAGCAGTAACTGGAAGCTGTTGGACAGAGAACGCTAGCACATTGCCACTCAAATTAAAAAAGTAAAATCATAAAAGAAGGGAACAGTATTTGTTTTGTATACTCACTCGTCCAATGCGATTATTGATGTCCTGGATGAACAGCACACGGAGGTTGTGGAGAGTCTGGAGCTCTTTGGCCTTGTAGAAGAGAAAACGTCATGATCAGTGATCTAAAAAAATACTTTATACATGAATAACAGCTATACACAGGTTGAATATTCAAGATGAACAACTCTGAGATGGCCAATGGTGGTGCTCAGAGACAAACTCTAATGCCAGGTAATGTCATCTTACTCACCACAGTCTCTTCCAGACCCTTGAGATCTTCTTTAGCTTGCTCCCTCTTCTCATTCAACAAGCTAATTACAACAAAAATGTCTTTATTAGAGGAACAGAGCTGTTTTACAAACATTGTCACTCATAAAATCTTTCACTGACTTATTCCATGAGCAGATAATATTTATGACTTTTTAATATGAGCAGCTGACTCACAGAAGCTTCCGCAGCCTCTCGTCCTTCTTCTGTTCCTCCTGTTTCAGCTTTTCATAGTCAGACATGAGCTGCTTCTGTTCAAGCTGAAGAGCCTGGTTCACACTGAGAGCAGGGAATTATTGAATGAATCAAACTATTTTGATAAGTTCATTAATTTGGAGTAATGCCAGTCAAAAGCAGATGCATTCAATGTCTCAAAATAAATATTACAAATGAATATTAGATATAAAACAATTATAGAACTGACAAGAAGTATTCAGGAATAAATACTTACTCCTTCAGCTCATCCAAGATCCTCTGTTTCTCTTCGATCTCATCTCGCAGACGTGAGAGCTGCTTCTGATGAGCCTCTCTGTGGCTTTCCATCTGCTGTTCCAGGGCTTTCTACATGCAGATGCATATGGGATTTACATATTGAATATAAATGGCACAATATTAATCTTCAAATTTGACCTTTAATACTTCTATCATAGTTTAATATGCAGAGACAGCTATATGTAGGTTGATTTCCTGTAACATTGCTCTGCTTGTTTGAGTTTGAGAGGGTTATCTGAGTGTTCATGTTCATTACCTTCATCTCCTCAGCGTCCTGTATCCTGCTCATGTGTTCCTTTTCCTTATCCAGGACTGACACCTCATGCATGTTTTCTGCATTAACCAAAATAATCACAAAACTTTCAGAAGATTTTTACATATATAGTAAAATCACTGTGAATAAAACATGTTGTGCTTGTTTGAATTTGAATATAATATAATATCACAGTATTCTGTGGCAACAAATTGACTGTAAATACTACAAAAAGTATAAGTGCATCACAAAGACCTTGTGCGTGGAGTTTAGCGAGCTCCTCCATCAGGGAGTCGTGGCTTTCCTCCAGCTGTCTCTTCTTCTGTTCCATGCTCTGCATGTAGTCGGTGAGGGATTTGATCTTTGCTTGATGCTAGACACATAAAAATAAAATGCAAGAACAATAGTTTCAAAAAGAAAAAGTGAACACCTTTAAATCTTGAATTTAACACCTTTAAAAAATATTTTTTATAAAACGGATAGTTCCGGTCCTTGATTCTGATTGGCTGAGCCGCGTTCGAAGCTGTTGTAAATTACACTACAAACATACACCTTTGTTTACTTCTGTGTGTTGCTCGGCAACCACTTTGTTGGAACCACAACTGTTTCTGAGGAACTACATTGTTTGGTGGAAGAATACTGTTTTTATTTATATCATTACACTTTATTTGTTCTGTTTAATTCTGTAAAACCTTACTACGTACATGGAATAACCGTTTTATAAAAGCAATAAGCCCCGTGAAGCCGTGGTTTACAGTGAATTTATAACAGCTAAGGGGCGTTGCTAGGCACACGACGCGAAGCGGAGTGCCTAAAACCCCCTTAGCTGTTATAAGCTTCTTGGGGCTTATTGTTTTAATTAATCTAATATAATAATTATAATTATAATTAATAATTTATAATTTATGCATTTAGCAGACGCTTTTATCCAAAGCGACTTACAGTGCATTCAGTCTATAATTTTTTTTTTACCAGTATGTGAATAATAGCCTATATAATAGAAGTTAAAATATGTTGGTAGGGGACAAGCCTGAAATAGAGAAATGTTTGAAGATTTTCCGTTTCTCCTCTTAAAATAACGAAAAAGTGATTAAAAAGAAACAATAATATGTTTAAAGCAACTATAATCTATCATTAAAAAAAAAATTTAACTCCTTAAAATCGTCCAAAGGGATATAAAAGATAAGTTATCAAGAATCAGCCATATACAGTGTTCTGATCTATAATCACCACTAGAGGGCGCTTTTACCTGAGAGATCAGGAGCTGGCAGGAAGCGAGCTCTTTCTCGTTGGCCTGCATTTTACGCATTGTGTCGGCCTGTGTGCTCTCAAGCTGTTTACTGCGGTTGAGCTCCTCTAAGGCCTGAAGCACCTCCTTCACCTCCTCTTTAGCTGCCTCGTTCTCATGCTGCAAACGGCTCAGATCTTCCTGGATCTTCTCATAGTCACGCCGTGTGGATGCCAATAACTGTAAGAATGCAGGATGGAGAAGTCAGACATCTACGTTAGTCAGAGGACTGTCTAGAGCTTTACTTACAGAAGTCCTGCTTCTTTGTCGTTAATATATATATATAAGAAATGTCATTTTAAATTGTAATATTTCATAATATTATTTTTTTCATATTTGATCAAATAAATGCTGCTATGGTGAGCATAAATACATGAATAAAATAAAAAATCTGGTCCCACTTTATATTAAGTGGCCCTAATACCTGTGTACTTACATAGTAACTAGATGTGTATGTAGTATGTAACACTGTATGTAGCTCTTCCCAGGTTAATTTGGTTCTTTTGCTGTGCTTTTGTTGAGGAATGCCTCTGAGACGCAGTCACCTTTTAGTAATTACCTGCTCATGTTTCATGTTGAAAGAGCATCTCTGTTTTGCAGTTAGAAAGAGCAGAGTGAGCCGTGTCTTTAGCTCTGGGATCAGCTCTTATCAGAGGACGGCCGTTTCAGAAATGCGGCATTTTGGATTTTTCCCTTCAAATAGAAGTTAACCTCTTGCAAGTCAAGCCCTGGATTGAAATTCATCTGTTCTCCAGCTCCCCGTTTTTCTCGACAATTTTCTTCAATTAGTTCAGCTCAAGCACTTAACTCACACACTGTGCTGTGTGTTCTGGACTTGATTAAATTTATACTTTAATACATTTAAGATTAATATTTGAAAATTGTGTGTTGAAAATGTGTATTTTTAGAATGCAGAAAAAAGCCCTTGACTAACAAAAGAGGATGTAGATGTATCAGAGAATAGTTTCAGCTTCATTACATTAAAACATTTGGTCCCACTTTATATTAAGTGGCCCTGATACCTGTGTACTTACATAGTAACTAGATGTGTACATAGTATGTAACCACAGTGTAAGTACACATTGGTACATAGTATCTAGAGCTGTAATATTTCTGTAACTACACACATGTAACAACCCTCCGAATGGTTTGTGTAAGTACAAATGTGTAACAGGACATATAAAACTACATTTTGTAACAACAATATGTATAGGAGTAATTGGAACAATTTTATCCAGGGGGTGGAGATGGGTAGCTTTAGAGATATGTAAAGTGGGAGGATCTCAAGTTGGTGGAGTTGGTGCACCACTGTAATACCAGTGTACTTACATGGTAACTCCTCAGGAACTGTCCACTTAATATAAAGTGTAACATTCTGGA